TTAATGCCCGAAATGCTGTAAATCAGAAGGGCTGAATCAGATAAATAATCAATAACTTACTAAAAAAAATGAGTGCGCTCTTTTCCCTCTCCCGCACTATATATCAAGTACGTATAGTACTCTCTTGATATAAACTAAAGTGAATATTTTTTCTCAACCTGACTACTTCATTATAGCGAAGGTGATTCTAAACATATAAAAAATATTTTAGGCTAGGGTTATGTTACGATTGAGTGTAATTTATATACTGAGAAATTTTTTTTTTAAATAAAATTTAGAGTTAGTAAGAACTTTTTGTAGACCTAATAACCGATGTCAAAACAATCTTTATTAATATCTAAAAGTTATGTCAAAATCGTGCAGTGGGAAATTCCATAACTTATTATAATATTTGGTTATAAGTTACAACGACGATAATGCATTATATCTAAATCAGGTGAAGCATGGAAATTTCATAACTGTATAAATCTAAATTGATTAATAAAGTATATAGAAGGGAATTTATATATTACAACAATGAATTAGGGTACAGTAAATTTTATAAAATGCAATTTTGACTTTCTAAGAAATTAATTTGTGCTACTTAACATGTTAGGATAACGATGTTAGAATTATGTTTGAAGGATATCTTTAATAATCATACTCTCCTTGATGCCCAACTATCGTTAAACCTGAATCTCTTAATAAACCGCACATTTCGCATGCTACGCCCAAGGCAAATCTGCACAAGCCCATTATTACTGTATTTCTCTCCCAAATCTGGGTGTATATCAAATATTACGAAGTCGAATTTGCAAGTCGCAGCTGACATGTCCAATTCCCTGATTGTTGTTTGACAGCGTGATTGTGAAATTGTGATTATAAAAAAGTTGTAACTTACATAAATATTTATTTGCATTAAATTCTCTTTTGCAATAGCACAATTGAATAAAAATAACTATCAGTATAGCCCTAGGTTGATGATCGATATCACTGCTGCAGCTGCAGTAGCTAAAGTTAGTGATTTATAATATAAAAAAAAATAATAATTAACCATAGCTGCTGCAACAAAATTGTCATGGCAGATTCTTGATTTTGATTAGTTAAGAGCGACAATCAAAAAATTTAGGCTGGAATTACTCAAAATTTACTAATGAAATCACAACTGCCCATTAAGTGAAAAATTGTGCAAGCCTATTTCTTTAAAGATTTTTATTTTTAGAATGAAAAAGTTAAAAAGTTAATTCTGGCCAAAAATTATGTAAACAATTATGTAATGCGGGCCAAAATTTTATAAATCTCGACCGTTAGCCAATCAAAATCGAGAATCTGCCATGACAATTTGGTAGTTGCAGCTATGGTTAATCAATTGTCTGGAGTAAAGGGATAAACTCATACTTCTATACCCTTTAATATCCAAAATTATAGTTTTGATATATTTATAATAAAAATATCAAAAATATAGTTTTGATATTTTTTAATTGTAACGCTCCTGAAAAATTTGATCTATAATATACGTAACAAGACTTTTCAGAGACTGTGACAAGTTTCAGACTAGTATAATAAATGCTACAGCAATGATATTAATTGTTGACCCGAACTTTAAAATCGCCTAATAAAATCAAAGTGATTATACAACTATGTAATAATTTACAAAATTATATTATTGTTTTAAATATATAATATATACAATATTTATAAATACTGTAAATTATTTTTTTGTTTTAAGAATAGAAAATACATATAATATTTAAAAATTTACTATAAAATTAAAAATTATTACTAATAAAATTTTTTCAAATTACAATTACTTTTTATCAAACTTTTATAATATATAAATAAAATTATTTACTTATTATATAAAACATATTTAAATTTTCTAAATTGTACAAAATTATCTATTTTATTTGATTAATTTATATAAAGTTATAAAATAATTTAAATATTAAATTTTTATACTTAATTTTTAAAAATATATTTTATTAAATTTTTAACTAATTTTACTATATATAGTTATTAAAATTAAATTCTATAAACTTTATATAATAAATAAAATTAGTTAATAGTATTTTTTGTAAAATTAAATATAAAAAAATTAAGTTTATAAATAATTTTAAACTAATATTTTTTATCTTTAAATAAATACTATATATTACAATTATTAATTATAATATATATTTTTTAAATTTAAAAAACTAAATTTGTAATTTTTTAATATATAATATATATAATATATTATACAGTTTATATTTATTTAAAAAATTAAAATTTTAAATATTTTGCTCCGGACTCACAATGCTACGCATTAGCCTAGTTTTAATACTTATTATATATTATAATAATAAGTATTAAATAAGTAATTAATTTTAATACTTATTGTATACTCTTTTAATTAGGGTTGTTAATGGAATATTCCGGACTATAATAAAACATATAACCCGCTTCTGGAGTGCTCCGGAGTGGATTATATGTTTTATTATTGACTGGTGCACTCTATTAGCAGCCCTACTTTAATACATAAATTAGTTAATCTATTATCTACAACTATAACCAATATAATTACTAGCCTATCTCTATCTATATACTAACAAAAATGAATGAATATTCGTTTTATGAAAACGTTGTCAATTATAAATTTAGGGATTGTCAGCTTGTATATTTAACTATTATAAAAATTAATTAACGAACAAAGCTGAACGAGCCGACAATGTCATTACCAGTGTACGTACTGGAGATGCAGGCGTATCATCCCAAGTTGCAGTTACGGTTACAGAAAAAAATCATATGATCTATTGTCTCATAATTAAAAATCAGGTCATAAAACTAATTAATCAATGTCGTAACTAATTAATTGATTTAACTATGATTAACTCCATAGCTAAAATCTAATCTATAAATATTTTTTTAATTCCTTCGCCAAGGATTTCATCACAACCCGAATCATTTGAAAATATTAACCAAGAACGACGTCCTTCTTTAACCGATCTCAAAGAATGAGCAACTTTTACTGATCATCAATCCGAGGATGGTTGCTTGTTTCAGGTCAGCATATATATGTGCATTTAGGGACGGAAGTTTTGTGAGACTGCGCAATGTAATAAGCAGCAAAGTGATGGTGCAAAAATTTGCAGTCCGAGACAAATCAGGCCGGAAAATGTTATACACTAAACTGAGGACTTGTAATCGGAACTGTTAAGATTCAATATCGATATCAATTACTGAATTAATGATCAAATCATCATTATATCGATATATTTAAACGTTCCGATGAAATATAATTGGATAAAAGCCATGTGCAAGTCCGATTTGGAAGTTTCATAGTCTCGAAAATCACGGGAACGCCAAATTTTGCTAGCCCAATGTAAATTCTTATAATTCAAGCCAGCTGAGTCTAGTCAGCTTGCGCAGCAGATTCAAAAGTTCTCTATTTGCCCATCCATATACGTATGTAATGTAATAGTTACGACAATATTAGTTAAATTATACGTTATATTCGCAAGATTCAATTAATAAGTTACGGCAAACTATAACGATAACTGATTTTTTTGATACGGCATACCTCAATGACTCAAGTTTCACCTGCACCTCTAGTACGTACGTACGTATATACGTAACATGACATCAAGATCGGACACTAACGTTAATATCGATCATCTTATATATCAAATATGATGTGCCGATCGATCGATATCGATATCAGAAGGTGATGACTAAAAGTCAATCAAATACGAATTCAACCTGTCATCATTATTGATTTAATTTCTCCTTTTTTCTTTTTTAAAACACAAAAAAAAAAAAAAAAAGAAAAAAATATTCTATCTTTTCTTTTCTTTTTCTACGATCAAACTTTCTTAACGTTCTTTAATAATTTCATACATACATATTTTTAAAATGCATACTGCTTACACTGAAACTCTTTTTGCACCTCGTCCTCGTAAAAATATCGGAGCCTTTTTGGAGCCAATGAAATTTATATTCTCGCATGGTGATCATATTCAGGAAGTTTGTAATTCTTTGAGACAATCCTATAAGATTAACGCGAGAGCATTTAATCTTACCATTTTTTTAACGATCTGACAAATATTTTGTATAATATATACAATCTCATCAGAAATTTTCTACATGTGAATCTCGTGCAACTGAAAATTGTAGTTGGGCAGAATTTGAAATGGACCTTTCAGATTGGTTTGGGTATGACGATAACGAAGTTTGGTATGTGAGGTAAATTTTACTATTTTCATTAATTAAGAGATGGGATCATATTCAAATTCTCTATCAGTTCACAATCAGTAAACACAACAGATGCATTTGCAGAACTTCATGATGTTTCGCGATCTTGGTACTATCGCTATGTCGAAATCTGCACTCAAGTAAAGAACACTAACTTTACCTTTTTGTATAATGTCAACAATGGATGTACTGATGACGTTGTTCAACGATCATCGTGCTTAACCAGAGAAGAATTATTATGCCAACAGCTGCATAGCGAAGAAAAGCAGTATGATTTCTTCGTTTCAAGAGTGAATCAAGAAGTTCTATTCCCTTTGCAACAAGGTAATAATAAGTAAGGTCTACTGTATTATTTGTTTTATAGAAAACAATCTACAATATATAATATTTTTCTTTTAATTTCGTACATAGAAAGGATAGCATCACCAATTTCCCGTGCCCAAAATCCTATTCCATATAATTCTTCATTTATGATGCATAATCCACATCATCTTCACGTGACTATTCTAAAACGCGCCTTATCTCCCGACATAATTACGAGAAATCACGCGAACGAATCTCCGCTTACAAAATTTGGATTTATTACCTCTAGTCGTCGACATAGCATCTAAAAGGTTTGCTTTTTGTATCTTGGCAAGCTTATTAGTCTTCGCTTTTGCATGATTGACTTACTTTCTTGATAAAACGACTTGTATATAAAATAGCGTAAATCAAAGATAATATTGACTGCTGCATTAAAAGTCATTCCTTGTAAATATTTTTATTTAAAATATGCATTTAGTTTAATCTTATTTTTCGATGTTCATTTTTTTTAGCACAGTGTTAATCGTGCTTTACGTAGAAGTAATTTACTAGCGAAAGATTGAAATTTAAATTATGTTCGTTATGGGGACGAATTAGTAGAAGCAATGCAATTTGCAACATACAAAAACAGTGTAAATTGTGTTTGGTTTCATCCCATACACAAACCAGAGTCCACGGATTTTATGGCATCTAAAATAGTACTAGCCACATCACTAAAACAAATTAAATTCGGTAAATTCGGTAAATTCGGTAG